TTCAATAGGATTATGGTCGGAATAGATGAGATGATTTAATTTCTTGCCTCCGAGTTCGACCAGAAATTAAATGGGGGCCACAGACTCCCATACGATCAAATTCCAACAGTCGGTTAAAATTCAATTCTCCAAAACCTAAGGGTACGAGGTGCGATGCCAAAACCACTGATGAACTTAAAATTCAAACCTTCAAGGTAAAGGGGCGATGTGAACAATTCAGAAAATTCAATCCTCCAAAGCCTAAGGGTACGGGGTGCGATGCCAAAACCACTGATGAACTTAAAATTCAAACCTTCAAGGTAAAGGGGCGATGTGAAAAGTTCAGAATGATCAAGCCTCTGAACCTGAGGGTACGAGGTGCGATATGAAGAACAACTACGGACTTAGGATTTTAGTCTTTTAACGTTTTTAAGTCAAGGGTGCGATGTTAAAAGTCCAGAGTTGGTGCAATGCACTGAATACTAGATAGAGATTCGAATTCAAAATTTTAATAATTTTAATTGAAGGCGCGACCTCAAAGGTAAGAGGTGCGAGGTGACGTTGGCTACAGTTTAAAGAAAAAGCAAAGAAATGAGCGATGTTGTCAACACCAAAGTAAAAACGAATAAGAACTTCTTCATTGAATGGAGAGCAGAGCCAAGGCTTATAGACCTTGCAGCTCTGCCCTAACACTTACAAACAAAAGAGAAGAGAAGAAAGACAGAGGTAGGCCTCAGCTGCTCCTGAGGTGAGGGGACCGTTTGTCTTGCGACCCCAAGAGGGTGATCTCCTAAGAGCCTGTTTGAGCGCCCTCCTGAGTGGTGCCGACCTGGTCCTCTTCGAGATCGGAGTAGTCAGAGTCCAGATCTCTGACATACTTATTCACCAACGCTTGGGGGCCAGGGGTGCCGTTAGGCCCAGAAGCCCACTGCTCGGCATAACTCTTCTTCAGACCACTGAGATCGATCTGAAGGTCAGACATGTCGGAAGTAATGCCCTTCATGAGGAATTTGAAGCCCGCGTCAGAAAAGTCTTTGGCAAATCCGTTGAAGTCAGGATGTTGCCTGAAAGACTCCTCCAGCAGGGCTCCGTTGCCGAAACGCTTATTCGCCGCCTTTAGCTCGGTAGTCGCACGCTTCAGCTCATCGTCCTTCGCTTCAAGCGCCTGAAGCATGTCGTCCTTCTCCTTGAGGAGTTGGAACTTCTCCTTCTCCAGGCCCTTAGTGATGGCATGGGCAGC